AAATACTAAGGTGGGTTGTTTGGATTGGTAGGGTCGGTTTGGGGGTCGACGATGTTGTGTTGAGAAACCATGGATCTCGTTGTGACCATTCACCTTGATGGCCAGCGAGGAAGGATTATCGGGAACGGGTCTTCGATAACAATGAGCACAATTGCCACGCGGAATAATGTTCCCACAGACGACGCCAACTGATAGTTCTGTTAATCGCAAGCCCACACTTCCAACGTCGTTCCCTGATCACTAAGCCCACCGGGGTACCTGCACAAAAGCCCAGCGGGGAACGGGAGTCCCCCAGCGGACCCTCCGACCGTCAAGTTAGAAGATAGAGGAATTTATGGTGAATGGTAGGAGAATAACGATACGGCACCTAACATTTTTGTGTCTTGGAAGCCTTCTTATATTCTTCGTTCATCATTTCCTTGTCCACTTCGACCTTTCACATTGGCCGAAAGTTTATGCTCTAGCTTGCCTTGTTCATGGTGAGGTTGCCTGCTCCGACGTGAAGGGATTATCGCATTTAATGCTGCAGGGGCTTCATTAATGGCTGATGTGTGGTGCAATAACTCTGCAGGATCTTTGTCTGCTTACGTGGCTGGTTCTCCTCTTGACAAGCGTTTACATGCTATTAGTTCTTGGTGTAACGTTGGGTTCCAGTAATGTTGGGCTTTAGTGTTTGAACTGTGTGTTGGGCTCTAAGTGGTGGGCCAAAAACCTCTATGGGCCCACCTATGTCATATGTCATCCCTGCTGCTTTCCAGAACGCCATCTCTCCTCCTACCTCTTTCTCCTCTTCTCTCTCTCCAGTTTCTATTCAACACTGATGCTCTACTCTGTAACCTATGTGACCCATGATGTGTATATAGACGTGCAGATTCGGGTCAGGCTTCAATCACTCGGGTCGGGTTTTAATATGGGCTTCAATTAACTATTGAATGGACAAAAGTACCCTCCAAAAACAAAATAGTCCACTTCACCTTGATAGGGCATTTCTGTCATTTCCCAATGAGAAGGAAAGGGATTGGAATTGGAATTGGACAAGGACATTCCAAAAAAATTGAGAAGGTTTATTTTTATATAAAGGTTATTACTATTTCTAATTTTTAATTTGTATCTCATATAATGACTCTAAACTCAATATGAGTTATGAAAATGCCATCATTCTCGTAACAAAACTTGTTTAATACCCTTTCTTTTTCTTTTTCTTTTTCTTTTCAATCCCAATAATTCTAGCTCCATCCATTAGGATTGAGTAACAAATTTGTAAAATCTGTAATTCGATGCGGTTCAATCCAATCCTGTCACGACCCAAACCCGCCCCTATAGCTTTAGCGTTGTAACCAGCCAGTAATTCTGGGATTACCAAAGGCCTCTGACCTGAAAATCATACAAATAAAGGGGCTGCAGAAGCAATTATACAAAGATACAACATCCATTGAGCTGTGCAAATATACATGAGATAGATAATTTAAATTTATATATATATATATAATGTCAAAAGTTCAAATAAGTCATGCAACACCGTACAAGTATCATCAAAAGGGACTGAGCCCAATGTACATATAAACAAAACGAAACGAAAACATCTTCATCATGATTTGCAAAACTTGACTTCTCCAAACGAGAACCTCCCCGAGAGGCACAGTGGCTGGCTAACTCAAAAAACTCTCCAAGTAGCAGCTAGACCTGGTCACGCACTTGCTCACCTACATATATAATATAAATAGTGAGCGAAAGCCCAGTGAATAATAACAGAGTAAAAGGTTAAATGAATGATGTCCCATTACAGATTTAGAAAGCATAAACAAAGTCATAATTCTTATTCTTGTCCAAAATCATATACAGAAATCAGAATTCGTGCTTAATCACACATGGTACATCCATTAGCACTAACAAATCAGATGCAGAGCATTAAGGGTCATACTTGACCAGTTCCATAAAAGAACCTCTAGTACCGGGAATAGATAACATGCTTAAGCCACAGTATTGTTACCCCCGGAAGAGGGCCATGAGACCACAGTATTATTATCCCTGGGCGAGGGCCATGTGCTCATAGACTACGGTATTGTTACCCCTAGGCAAAGGCCTTGTGTTAAAGATGCCACGAATACTTTTCAATATATGGACAATCATTCATTGATACAGAATATAGCATTTCAGAAAAATAGATCATTTGCTTGTCTTATCATAGCATATAAGAAAATACTTAACGTGAACATAACTTTACAAAGTTACTACTCACTGATGGCTCCAAAGCAAACAGACAGAGCAAACAAATCAGATAATTTACAACGCGTGACCTACACAAAAATAACAGAGACACATATTAAACCACACACTCGAAATTCGTTAACTTAATTCTTTCTTATCTTTGTGTGTTTCTAGTCCTTATCCTCATTATTATATCTTAATCATGGTTTAGAAATGCCTAGGATGCAATGAGGATGCCAAAACATGTTGTTCAACACTTGGTTAAATTTGTTAAAAACAGGGTTCTCGCTCGAGCGTAGCTTTCTTTGTTCGAGCGGAGAGTAAAAAATAAGGGTAATTGCTCGAGCGCAACTTTCCTCACTCGAACGGTCTGTAAACTTCTGTAAAAATATTGGTTGCTTGATTTTTCCACTCGACAAGCTCGACGGCCACTTGAGCGTGAGACTGAGGTCTTTGCTCGAGAGCAACTCTGGTCGCTCGAGCGGTCTGCAAAATGTGTAAACTTCTGGAAGCATGCATTTTACGCTCGAGCCAACTTTTGGTCGCTTGAGCGAGAGTGCAAAACAAAGAGTGGTCGCTCGAGTGCAGGTTCTGTCGCTCGAACGGATAAACAGAATTCTAGAATTTCCAGATTTGCTTCAAGCTTCAAAACTCAAATTCAAAGTCTCAAAATGCAACCTTTGGGCCCCAAAACTTGAGGAAATATGTCAAAACTTGCAAAACATTGAGAATTCAAAATCATTTCGCAAAATTAAAGCCCAAAAGCATGCTTATTGTGCAAATTCAAACTCAAAACTTTGAAACATAACGTGTAAGTAATGGATTGAGTTCAAAGCTTCCAAATCATAATCAACCAACGTAAATTGATGGAAAAACATGATAAATTCTCAAAACTAAGGTAGAATTGGGACATGCATGTGAAAATTCTTAACAATTAAACTCAAAATGTAGGAAAATATGCATGCATGCATGCATGGAATGCTCTCAAATTCCCTAATTTAAGCTCAATTCTCATGAATAAACACTTCATTCTCTAGAATTCTTGCACAAAGTTTAAGGTCCAAATTCTTATCTAGAGTCTTAAATCACAAGCATAGAAGCTTAAACTCCTAAATTCCCTTCAATTCTCCAACAATTCCTAGCAATTCTCCCTTTTTTTAGCTTTTGATCTTAATTTTCTTCCTTCTCTCTCTCTCCCACGTTTTTTAGCTCAAGGATAAGGGAATGAGAGTGTAAAATGAAATCAAGGACTTACTTGTGCCTTATATAGGCTTGATTAGGGAGCTCTAATTAAGCTTTGATTAAGTTAAGTAATGGCAATTATTATATTCAAATTATTTCGTTCCGAATCGAATTTCAATTCAACTGACCATAAAATTTTAAAAATTCCAAATAACATATAAACCAAGTCAATTTCATGTTCTGTGGCCAATAAGGCCTTCAATTCGCAGAACAAATTGAAACATGAACAAATATTTCTACGATAGACAGATAGAAATACAAATAATACAACACACATGCACTTAATTCAAAATTTCATTTAATTACTTATTAGGCATCTTTAATCGTGGTTTAGTAGTTAATCATAGGTTGGGGTTGTTACAAATCTGGTAGATTTAGATTATTTTTTGAATCCGTGGTTCAGTTCCAGATTGAAAAATTAAAAATCCGTAGTCCACGAGTTGGTTTCAAATTGAACCCCACAGTTCCGGATTGGAATCGATCCGGACCGTATATAAAGAGCCTACAATTATATTGTACGCCCTCTCGCATAGTATCTTCACTTATTCCATATAAAACCTAAACTCAAATCTAAACCCGCATAGTATCTTCTTTTATTGTTTTTATTTGTTGGTTTTTAATTTTAATTTGTAATGGTCTAAATACTTCTGTGGAACCAGTTTTCTTATGATTGCTTATATTCTAAAACAGCATGTCACTATTATGAAAAGACATGTTGCTATTGTGAAACTAATATATGATACTATGTTTATGTTTTTATAAAATTAAAATGTTCTATATATATATATATATATTTGTTATTTAATTATGTAAATCCGTGGTCCTAAACCGATCCAATCCGTGTTTAGTTCGGATTGGTTCAACGATTTACACGGATTAAGTTGGTTCTAATTTTTCAAGAACCGTAATAACGGATTGGTCCTGATTTTATCCCAATCCAGACCGTGCTCACTCCTGCTGTCCATAACCATGTCATGCACCTTCAACCCACCCTTAAAGACCTGACTTGCATTCATTCAACTTCAATTGATGCAAACAATACCAGAAAAACTGCAGATAAGTACATAGCAAAAGAATGCATTCATTCAACTTCAATTGATGCAAACAACACCAGAAAAACTGCAGATAGGGTATACAGCAAAAGAGAGTCAGCAAACAATACTGGAAAAGCTTTAGATAGATGGAGACTGTGATGGCAAGAGAGACAATCAGCAGGGAGCAACAAAATCAGCACAGGTACCATGTGAGGGGGAAGGTTTCATTATATTTTAATCCGGGCACATAAAACCTTTGAGCTTGAATTGGATGATATATAGCATTGCATACCGTCACTGAAATTTTGAAATAATGATGTGGAGAAACAAAAAAGAACTGCTAACTCATTGTGATTAACCTCCTTGAGGACAGAGTTGCCAATTTGAGGTTTGTTCCTCGACTCATTGAGATTTACTTTTACTATTTCCAATCTTTATAACACATCTTGTTTAGCAAAACACAAACCTATAAATTATTAAAGCACAAAGGGCACGTAAATATAGGCACAGACCACCTATCATAATGGGAAACCCGTCTGAGATTGCAGCGTAGATAAAATTTAGTTAAGATAAAAATGATATGCTCATACAAAATTTCATCTCATGTTACAATTGAGAGTTTAAATTCTATCCAAAGGATGCAAGAGACAAAAACAGCATCATATAGTCTCAAGATGCAACTCTAAAAATAGAAGGGTTAGTCAAAAGCAAGGCATGACCCTTGTTCTGTTTTCACTTTTCACCGATCTTTCTCAGACAAGGAGGACTGCATTTATACAACCATCGTTCTCTGGATTATTCGTCACTTGAGCATACTTCCCTGCACCCACAAATTTATAGAACAAATGAGACATGCTTATCTGAGGTAAATGCAAAACATCATATTTATTTAAAAGAAATGCCAATGACAATCTTACCCCATACTACTTTTCCAGCTGGTGTTACAAGACCTAGTTCACTGACATTCACCTGAAAATAAGGAAATATTATTTATAATTATAATTAAATACCAACTAATTGAAATTTCAATCACGTCCAATAAACAAAAACATTTTAAGCAAAAATTTACCTCAATAATCGTTCCTTTAGTTATAACACCAAGTGAGGTGTACATTGGACCATTAGGATTTTTCTTTACTCCAATAATCTCAAGATTGAAAGTGCATTTAAGTTCAGGGTGTGTCACATGGGCTTTAGTGAATCGCAAACCCGAAGGACGGATAAACCGCTCATACTTGGGAGGTTTTCTTGTAAAACCTGGTCCTACAAATGTGGCTTTAGTGACCATCCTCTTCCACTGCTTGGCTGCAAAAAGAGAACAAAAGCATAGACATCAGGGGCAGTACTGTAACTTTGGCACAACTTAAATTATGAAAATTCAAATCAGATAAAGGCAATGCACAGGATACTTACTTTTCCGTTTACCAGTTCTGATCACTCTAAACATCTCATCTTCAGCCACAGGCCTGACCTGAAGATTTAAAACAACTCTGTTACAAACTTATTTTATTATTATGTTGGTATTCATTGTACACTTAAATAAAGTAACCCATAACATATAAACACTCAAACATCCAACCCATCCAATGGAAAGGTGGATGTCCAAGAAGAAAGAACTTAATATGGTACTTCAAAACTTGGAGAAAGCCTATGATAGAAATCAATGGTGACATTGTTTTAACTGATCAAACTAAACTAAAAGACCGTAGAGAAGCTATAGAATCAAGAGGATTAGGATTAATGCATAAATGGAAACAATGAGTGATGTGGAGATATTCAGCAAAATGAAGGTTATGCCCCTGGGGTAAAAGTAACCAGTGTAGCAAACATATCAATCCAATATTCAAATTAATGATACTACTAATATACATTTTGCATATTCATCACAGATTTTGCGTTGCATTGTAATTTAACTCAGAGGGAATGATAGCATTCGCCAACAATTTTACTCTGCTATGGCACATCTGCTTTAGGCAACTTCAGAACTTCAACAACATGACAATTACGCTAATTGCTTAGCATGTATAATGTAAAAAAATCTTCAAATAAGAGTGTGGGTGGAGATATTATTGCCAAACTAGAAGGGTTTTCCATCCACTAGCATACGCATGGATGCCCTTCCTTTATTGCCAAATTCTGTCTTCTGATACTCAGCATGAGAAGCAACTTTTGTTGTACATTCTTAACTTTTTTCAAATATCTGATACCGAGTGTTTAAGTTATTTGTCAAACCTGTAACCCTATAGATGTTTATCTACTTCCCTTCTCTTCAAACTTAACATGAGGCATAAATGAACAGTTAGCTGCAATATCTTGCCACTGTTAATTAAGGCTATGATCTTTTCTGGCCCAGGTGACTGCTTAAACTGATTATTTAATCTATACAAAATTAAGCTCAACGCTCTTAGACTGTTAGGTGTAGCTGCTGGTGTGTAAAGGTTATGCAATTCTAAAAACAGAAGTTGGTGGTGGACTACCATGAGTAGTATGAGTATACAGAATCTTGCAGAGGCATTGTGAAAAGTATTTTGCTTGAGCGTGTTGTATCATGGTAAGGTTGTTTTATAGATTACATGTCTGTGGTGTGGGGAAGAACAGAAAATTGGCATTTTTATTTTCTTTAAATACATAATTGGTTATTAACAAGTTCACATCATCTTCCCTATTTGCACTCCTATAATAGGCAGACTTCCCTAAAAGAGGTCCACTAGGGTATGAAAACATAAAATAAGAAAGACATCCAGTAAATTCAAGAAAAAAACATGCAAGAAAGATACTATGTACAGAATTGTAGCTGATCCTACCTTGGGTAGAGGAACCTCCCATTTTCCAGCTTTCTCTTTTCTCTTTTGCTTTACAGTGTTGCTAAGAACCTACAGACAGCATTATATGATAATCAGTAATGGTACATGGCCAACATATATTTACACTTAACATCCATAAAATGGAGAACTTTATAAAAAGTACTATCATCTTAGCTAAAAATAGCATACCTTTGCCCGTGTCGTCGTTTCACGATCAAGCAGATAAGCAGGAATAGCTCCTTCCTGAACATCATCATCCACCTTTCGCCTGGATGATGATTCTTCATGCATAGCCAACCTGTAGACATGGTGGAAAATTAGCCAAAAGGTTGTTTATTCAAACCATAATGCATTAAAAAAGTATAAATGACAGCAATCTACAATTGGAAAACAAGAAGAATGATATATATATATATGCACACACAACAAGAATGATATATATATATACACACACACAAACAAACAAAGATATTAAGAAAATGTTTAAGGAAAGGAATGAAATAACTAAAATCACAACATGATTGACTTCAGAAATGTGTACTAGGGAAAACATTGGATAATTCTCAATTCCTTCTGAAATTTGGAATCACAAAAATAGTCCTCCATTTTTCATGGGTCCTAAACCCCAGACTAATAGGGGTGGCAATGGCTCATGTGTTTTGGGGCTGTGTTTGATAAACTGGTTAATTTTTATTCCTTAATACAAAAAAGAAGATTGTAAAGTTTCCACAATCTTCAAGTTAAAATATCTATCAAACAATGTATTGACCACAAAAATATGCCAGCTGCTCTTCAAACTCATACAGAACCATCTAGATGAAAAGACTATCCCGGTGAATGCTGGAAACTTTCTTGCATTTAACTAAAACGGAGGGTAAGCTTGCTCAGAACTCATTAAGAAAGATGAGATGTTTTTCCCTCAAAAGATACTGCTATTTCATCAAAGACAAAAAGAAACAAACTTATTTCCAAAAACTGACAATTCTCATTCTAAACACCACTGCGGTTTACGGATCAATGCATCAATATTAAAATTCAGAATTCAAAAACAAATATAGAATCAAAATCTTAATTAAATAAAATGAAAACACATGTAAATGTATAAAAAAAGAAACCACTCCAAAAGTTGATACTATTCAAATGAAAAAACAAAGACAACCCACAAAGAAAAAAAAGCCCCCAAAACATCCCAGGAATTTATAGACAGTTGATCTGGTGACTTGTGAGTCCACAAGATCCTCAATAGTAATTTCATTTTCCAAAACAGTAAACAAGATCCTCAATAGAAAAGTGAAGAAACTGAACCTTCTGAGCAATCTGAGATTGCTTGTGGACTTCACGAGCCTCTTTCTTTCGTTTGCGCTCGAAATGATCATGGCGATAGCCATTTCTCTTCCTGTGAAGCTCTATGTAATCTCCTTGAGGCTTGACAAATCATTTATCAAACAAAAAAACAACAATCAAATCAGTACACGTTCAATTGAGATCGATATCAGAAATATACAATTATCAAACACACAAACAACAACAACAAAAAACCAAAGATTTATGCTTTAGCTTTGAAACGAACCATGGCGGTCGACGATTGTCCCCAATTTTCTAGAGAGAGAGATACACAGAAACCCTAGCTTTAGACGGTAGTAGGGTTTTAAACTCCTCTTCATAATAGAAGAGAAAACGGGTTCTAAAGTGGGGCGGATCGAGCTGTTTTTAATCGTTCATCTAACAGACCCTAATGTCCGGGTGGGGCTGGTTTCAGTGGGTTTTGTTTGACCGCACCGGTTGCTAAGCCCAAAAAGATCCATTCAAATATTTAAATATATATTCAGACCCAAGAAACAATAAAATAGTAAAAAAATCAATAAATTTTTATATTTTTATATTTTTTAAGTCTTTTTATAAAAATTTAAAAATCACTAAAAAAATCTAATTTCCAAATACTCATTTGCCTCCGTTTGGGAAGTAGGTTGGCTTTTTGACTTTTTTTGGCTATTTTAACCTGTGCTAAAAAGCTTGGTTTGGAAAGAACTTTTTGACTTTTTTGACTTTTTTTATGAGATAAAAGTGTAATGATTATAGATTGGATGTGAAATTTTATTTTTTGTGACTAAAAAAGCTATTTTAGCCCTTCCCAAACAATTTGGATATAACTTCTTTTTTCTTTTTTCTTTTTTTTTCCTTTTACCAATTTTTAAATGGGAAATGTTTCGTAACTCAAAACATTTTGGCCCGAATGGCTCGAGGGAGAAGACGCAGAGAGAAGCAGAGGGAGATTTATCTCTAAAACTCATCTCCCAAACTCAAACCAAACATACCCTAATTTCCAAATACTCATTTGCCTCCGTTAGGGAAGTGAGTTGGCTTTTTGACTTTTTTAGCTATTTTAGTCTGAGTTAAAAAGCTTGGTTCGAGAAGGGCTTTTTAACTTTTTTGACTTTTTTTGTGAGAAAATAGTATAATGATTATAGATTGGATGTGATGTTTTGTTTTTTATGACTAAAATAGTCATTTTAGCCTTTCCCAAACAATTTGGATACAATTTTTTTTTTTTTCTTTTTTTTTCCTTTTATCAATTTTTAAATTGAGTTGTAACATGTTCGTTAATCTAAAAATCAAAAAGAAAGAAAGAAAGAAAGATACTTTTTCGAAAAATTAGGAAATTCCAACTTTTAACAAAATAGTAACTTTTTTCTATTATTTGGACGCACCAACTAGACTGACAACAGCCATGCATCACCTGTATCTACATTCATAATACATAAATATTGTACAAAATGATAACACAATTGTGAGATAAGTGTGTAGGACTTACCATTCGTCTCATATATATATATATATATATATATTCCATTATGTAAAAATCTTTTGTGCAAGGAAACTTTCTCATAAAGTTTGTGAAATTTGAATTGTTAACAAAATTGAAAAAATGATAATGGGTTACTAGTTCAACTTTTTTTGTGTTAATCAAAATCAAAGTGTGATATCATAATTAAATTATAAATATATTTATACTTAAATAAAAACATTAACATATATTAATTTAAATTATTTGGATTATAATGTCAATGATTTGTTGGTAATAAGTAGTGAACTTTTGTAGTAAACACAATCTTTCAATGATTTGTTAAAATTATTGAGGCTAAAATTTCGAATTGAGTGCACTCTGTTGTGGATATTGCGTAATTAAATAAGATAAATAGATTTATAATTTGATAAATTAAATTAAAATACATCTAATAGATCCATATTTGATAAATTAAATTATAAAGCATGAAACATGATTAACAGAAATATTAAAAAGGAATCAAACTAAATTCTGTGTAATACCACAGTATCTTTAAAACAGATTAGCCGTCTCACCATGCGTGTTGAAGGAACGTCGACTTTTGTCTCCTAAGATAAGATGGTTTAGAACGGCTAACGCAGAAGTACCTTCTGTTAGCTTTGGCGAACCGATATTGGCAACACTCTCTCAACACAAGAATAAAATTATAAACACAAACAAACTGATTGTATAATTCTGGAAGGCAAAATCTTTACCAAGCCCAAGGGAGATGGGTCTCCCTTTATACACTATGGGAGAGAGATGATGAGCCTCCAGCCATGAAGGCTAGCAACCAATGCTCATGAAAGCTAGCGACCAATGCCCATAAAGGCTAGCAACTAATGGCCATTACTCCTGCAAAACTGCTGGAGTAATGGACCAAAATTGATGAGAGAAATATCTTATCTATATTTTCTGTATACACAAGTGTGTATTTCTGCAGTAGACTTGGCCCAAAAAGATTAGGTTGGTGGACCACCAATCCGACCCAGCCCAAACCTAACTCAAGCCTCAAGTCCAAGATCCAAGCTCCAAGATCCACGACCCACGAATCACGGACCACGAACTCGGACCCAAACCTGGCCCGGTCTAGGCGGGCGAAAGGCATGCGCACGTACGCGTGTAGCAATTTTTCCATAACCAACTTGGACTATAGTCTTGGCCCAAGCCCATCCTTGAAGCATCCATGTCTCATTTCCTTCGAAAAATTTGGATGCCCCAAAGGGCTAATGCCCTTTTCATAATCTTGAGGTTTAAATACCCATTAAAGCTTTCTTCTAAAATCAATGTGGGATTGGTAGTTATACACAATTCCCAATACTTCATTCATAAGGCCATCTTTATGAGATAATTTCTTATTCAATTCTTAATGGTTTTTAGTGATTCTTTTTGTAGTGTAAAGATCTTGTTACAAAGAATCTAAACTCATTTAATCCCACCTCAACTAATGGTTGAGACCTACTTTAATTTCACATTAAAGTCACCAAAAAATCATTTTTTCCAACAATCCTCCACATGAATAAAAATTGACTAAATAAAGAAAACGGACAACGTTTACAACAAAGACTCGGACAGAGAGAGTACACAGACTAACCCTGCATCAGAAAAGGTAGCTCTGGGCCTTAAACCTTTCGTAATAAAAGCCTATCAAATTCACTGGCTGACCAGTGAACGTGATGTCTTGAATTGTTCTTCTGTTTGTGTAAACCGAGACAATAGACGTCACACAGGAGTTAGTCCAACCATTGTTCTTATTCTCACTGGTGTGTCCGGTATAACCCTGGAACATTAGCCTGGTTTAGTGAGTGGCTTTAAAGAATTTGGCCTTACCAATTCTTAAAGAAGCGGCCCCACTCCGCACTCACATAGGTGACCTATATAAGGTGTCTCATTATACCACGGTTGACTATTCATATCACTTAGGTCATTAAAAGTATTAGCTTAACCTTCTACCCCCATAAGGTATAACTGTACAAAGGAATGGGTAAGAGGATTTACCTCTTCAGTGACTCACCCGTTACACGAAATTATGTTGTCCTTTTGAACCTAGATCTTGAGATCTCTAGTCAACTAGGTTGGGTTTTCCATTCTGGTAACATTACTAAAGGCCTTAACCTCATTCCTCTTGACGACATTTCTACTAACTCTCGAGTTAACCCTTTGGTTAGCGGATCCGCAATGTTGTCTTTAGACTTTACATAGTCTAGAGAGACAATTCCATTCGAGAGTAGTTGTTATATGGAATTATGTCTGCGACGGATATGTCTAGACTTTCCATTATACATATGACTCTGTGCCTGTCCAATCGCTGATTAGCTATCACAATGAATACGAATAGCAGGCACTGGTTTTGGCCAACGTGGAATATCCTTAACGAACTAGCGAAGCCAGTCAGCTTCTTTAGTTGCTTTATCGAAAGCAATAAACATATATTCCATCGTTGATCTCGATGTACACGTTTGCATGGAAGACTTCCAAAACATGGCTGCCCCCTCCGACGGTAAACACATAACCACTAGTGGATTTGGAGTCCTTTATATCAGATATCCAGTTAGCGTCACTATACCCTTCTAGTACCACTGGGTATCTAGTATAATGCAGCCCATAATCCCAAGTATAGCGTAGATAACCTAACACCCGCATAATGCCTCTCCAATGAGTGGCATTTGGATTACTCGTGTATCTAGTAAGCCTATTAACAGAGTAGGCTATATCCGGCCTTGTACAACTTATCAAATACATCAAACTTCCAACGACCCGAAAATATTCTAGCTGAGAGACACTCTCACCATTATTCTTGGTCAAATATAGACTCACTTCTACCGGTGTCCTAGACACACTTGTATCTAATTTACCAAATTTCTCAAGTATCTTCTCAACATAGTGAGACTGAGGAAGTACAATACCACTAAATGTTCTGGTAATCTAAATACCTAGAATAACATGTCAAACTTAGAGTTTAACAATCTCTTGGTAGTTCGAACCATTTCATCATTACTACCAATAATGAGTATGTCATCTATGTATAGACACAAAATGACATAACCTCTGTCAGTGTCTTTAAGATATATGCACTTGTTACACTCATCGATTTTAAACCCATTTGACAACGTAACATTGTCAAACTTCTCATGTCATTGCTTGTGTGCTTGTTTCAAACCATATAATGATTTGACAAGCTTACAAACTTTCTTATTTTTCCCTGGAGCTGAAAATCCCTTGGGTTTCCATTTAAGAAAGTTGTCTTTACATCCATCTGATGTATCTCTAAACCACGTAAAGCGGCTACCGCAATCACCATGCAAATGGATGTAATCCTTGTCACAGGTGAATACGTATCAAAGTAATCCAGGCCTTCTCGCTGCCTATATCCTTTGATAACTAGTCTAGCTTTATATTTATCAATTGACCCATTAGCCTTCATCTTTTTTCTAAAGATCTACTTACTCCCCAAGGCCTTACTACTTGGGGGTAGATCAACCAACTCCCAAGTATGGTTCTGTAGGATGGAGTCAATTTCACTCTTAATAGCTTATTTCCATAAGGGACTTTCAAGTGAAGCCATGGCTTTGTGGAAAGTTCGAGGTTCTCCCTCTAACATACAAGTCAAAAAGTCTGGGTCAAAGGACTTGGCAGTCCTAGCCTTTTTACTCCTTGTTAGCTCAGCTAGTTTCTTATCTTGATCATTATCTTGATCATCACTTGATCATCATCTTGATTATTTTCAAGTTCCTTCTTAGAAGTTTGATCCTCTCCTCGGGTTTGGCAAGGAAATATGTCTTCAAAGAAAGACGCATTCCTTGACTCCATTATGGTATTCTTGTGGATATCTGAAATATCAGACTTATTCACAAGAAACCTATATGCACTACTATTTTGTGCATAACCAATGAATATAC